AACAAGAACCTAACCGCAAGACAGCGGGTGAGGCGAAGTGGACGCCCATTTACTTGGATCGATTATTCCTCCACCGCTTTTTATCGACTGAAACGCCATTTCCAGGAGAACCCCCAACCTGGAGGACCAGGATACTGAACTTCGTCTGACCTCTACCCATTGACCTTCCAGGCATGATAAGATCTCCTGGCTTTATGAAGCCATCCTGTGTAGCTCGTTAGGTCGCAGAGGTGCAAAAGGCGTCACATCACGTCAAGGTGCAGTCGCGTCGTGATGGAAGAGGGATAACCTCGAGGTCCCCAACCGAAACCTTTGGCTAGAAAGCCATACCTGCAAGACAACAGGACGGAAATCAGAGCCCGAAGTCCATTGTGGGCCGCTGTCCAGTTCATTGGATCATACACACTTCGGACGGGGTCAAAAGTCCAAGGTGCCCAATACACCTGCACGTCTAATCGAGCCGGCGACCACTGCAGCAACCAGGAAGATGTGCATGTGGTTCGTAGGCTTCTTCTTGGTTGGTTTATAATCAGGGATTTTAGCCCACTCCCTTAGATGACCTGCCAATGTCTAACCAGCCCGGTTATAGCCCTGGATCTCGGCTTTTCGTCCTCTCACCTGGGTAGGAAAACACCGCCACGAGTAGAACTTCCTCAGCAGAGGTTATTTAAAACGATTGGTCATATAGGAGCATTTCGCGGGGTGTAAGGGAACGGTGACCAGTCACAAGTTCAGACACCCACCCATTGGCCATTGGATAGACAGCTCTTTCAGAGCTAGTCCAATGAAGATTCAATGTTATCATTAGATATTTTGTAAGTAGGTTAGATGCTACTAACCGCAACAAATTGTGTCTAGTCATTCACATACTACTTATAATCAAATATATATAATATGAAAAGAAATTCTTTTACCTTTCCTCGCTGATCTTTAAATTCTTGTGCCAGTGTTCTTCAATGCACTAAACTATCACAACTTCTAATTATCCTGCGTGGATCCAAAATTCCTGCAATTCTCGCACTGATTAGTCGATAAAATACATCAATGATATTACCTTCGAAATCCCCAATAAGGACTTTTATTTTTTTCTGATCTGCAAATTAATAAATTCCTGATGGCCCCTCGGTCACCATTGCATAAACCTGGTTCGAATCTTTGAAACAGCGATGTTCTGCTTCCCTTAAAAGGATTATCTAACACATATACGAACTTATTTAGCGTGCACTTATTTGATTATAAACGGTTTCAAATTTTAAATCGGCCTCCAGCTTCTTCAAATTATCCTACATCTTCAGTGACCTAACTTACTCGTATAATCGTCTTCCAACATGTCAGAGCACACCAGGTAGAGGTTTTCAAGCAAAACCTTATCTGATAACATACCTTCACTTCACAAAGACCCAACTAAAATGCATTTTTGAGACCAAATTTATCCAACGTGAATTAATCATACAGCTGATTAAACATCTTTCTTGTTTTTATAGCTTCGTTTTATTTATACCGCCTCCACATTACATACCAGTCGCTGAACGATTACCATTGGGTGCAGTGAAGCGAATGGTTCAGTTGGCTTGTTTGTGCTGATGCGCGCAGAGACAATGGTGGATCACAAGAAGCGTCAAACTCAAATGCAGCCGCGCCAACAATAATCAATGCTACCGGCAGTTGCATTGGTTTAATGCTGAGAAGACCTCCCCATCTGGTAATAAAAAGGGGTTTGCAACGATACTAACAATACGTAAAAGAACAAACACATACAAAGTTTTTGCAGGTCACTACAGTTGCCCGTTCAACTGGAGAGAAGCAGTTGGGCGTCATCATGATTAATTTGAGCGACGAAATCGTCGGAAAAAAATACCATACCTATTTGGTAAACGCGACAAAGCAATTGGTGTTCACCAGGGTAGGATTCGTCTCTAGCCTCTAGTCGAGGAGACGACAAATGACCGGCAGTTTGCGATTGACTTCATCAGAATAATTTCGTCATACGGTACACACACACCAAGTCTAATGGGAACGGGACTGAGCAGGAAAAAACTAACGCTAAGTGTCGAGCGACCCTAAACTTGAATGCTGCAGTATGAGAATGGATACAAAGCAATAATTGAAGAGGGAAAGTAAACAAAGGATACAGTACACCTATCATGGAGATTTTAAGAGATCTAGTTGGAGCCGTCGTTTGTCCAATTTGACAAAGCGCACGAGCCTGTAATGTGGCCAGATCTAAAGGGCATTTACATTAACTCCGAGACGCAACGCTTTATATGCTCTGTGCGTCAATACTACTCTAAATGGATATATATATATATATATGTAATTCTGCACCAATATAATGCAAAGATAATCGTGCCGGAAAAAGACAATAAGCAATTGAATTCGAGCAGAGCAGGGTAAAAAAAAACATGATTTTTGTTTACCCCACCCAGTGTTGAGTTTCTTTTCCTCTTTTCATTGGGATTGCAAACATGCAGAAATGCATTCAGGTTAGTGATTTCATTTACATGTTTTATTCCGTAGTGGTTCCAGCCAACGATAATCGGGATTATTAGGGGCCCATGATGCAAGCCTGGATGGCCCAAAGAAAACTAACCGTGAGCACAGTCTCTTCAATCCTCTCTAGGATAGATCACACCTTGCCCGGCTCCATGTTTCTTCCAATCTGACCGTGTCTGCAAATAAGTTGCGATGGGGCAGATGTTGTCCAGGTATTCATCGAACGAGTACCAGCCCGCTCAGACAGTGCTGTGAAATGATCTTACGTAATGTAAGATATGCGGTCTGACCTCATCGTCACTAACACCACAAGCGAGTGATGGTATGTAGAAAACGGTAATACAGAAAACAGATAATGCTTGGCCATGATTTGATCGGAGGCCAACTTCGCAACCGTGGAACAACACAGCGCGCTTTCATACACGCCAGTGCAAGAAAAAGAGAAGGTTAGCTAACAGTGCCAGGAAACGAGGGTGGACTGCGCACTGGTCTAAGTGTATGTAAGGGTAGTGATTTAATCGCTGTCACAGACGTGCTTTGGACCCTATGGTCCGAGGTTCGAACCTCGCCACCGCCACCCGACTTTTTGTGGTAGACAGCTTTGTTGTCGTCCGGTCCAATACCACGCCTAACCTATCGGGGTCTTTGTGGTTCGCCACTCCAAGTCCCCGGGATTAGGTAACCGGTTTCCATCACTGAACAGCAGATCTCCGTGACTATGGTGCTTTAACCGTCTGCTGCTCATCACACGAAACTGTGTAATAAAAAAAATGTCTAGATGTCGTGGGGATACTTAATCGGGGTGAACACACTGAGACAATGGAATGGTACAGTCGTTAACTAGAATTCAACCAAATAGATAATGAGCTATGGCTGACGCGACCGTGTCGTCCTTTTTGGTTCGCCAGGTTTTAAAGTGGAAGGGACACTGTAACAGTACAGTCTCTTNTCTTATACGATCTGTTGTCGAAAGCAATAGCAAGCAGTTTCGACTATGACGAGGTGTTTACAGTGAGCTATTTTAGTAATATTTTTCATATTTGAGCACTGGTTTAAGGTCGAATACTTCTTTCAACTAGAATATGCATTAGCTTTATCCTGCTTGCACGATCGAATGCATCACTATGCTAGGGAAA